CAGATAAACACGCGAGCGAAGGCTGGCGTGGAGGAGGCGCATATAACCAAGGGAAGGAGGTTTCAGGGGGTACATGGGAACCACAGAAGGTCAGATCCTGTGCATGGAAGCCCCCAGGTGGAAGGAAGGGTTGGGAATGCTTAAAGTCCCGGTTTTTATTACTTTTCATTCTCGTCATCTGTATACGGTCCTCTTGGAATGGTCAGGGGGGATCTGTGAGAACGTAATCTCTCGGGTATCACCGGAAAACACGCCCGGGTGAGCCGACTACCTGAGGGATAACAGCTGCAGCGACCGTTGAAACCTTCTCCCCTCCCCCCATCCCCCCGCTTTACTACCTGTCCTTGCCGGTTGTGCCTTTTCCACGCCCTTTTCTAGCATGCCGTATTCTTTAAAAAGAAACAGAACATTCCTGAGTACCTTCAGGGGGCTAGCATTCCCTTTCACTTCGAATGTATTCATGAACTTTCACATTATCAACATCAGAGTAGCACGATGTGGCAACGCCCCGCTGCTCCCTCAATCTTTCTTGTGTGGATCTTTCTTTTTTCTGTATCTAACGCTTTCTGCTCTTCTTCCCCTTCAGATTTTCTCTTCCTTTTTGTTGTAGCTTATGTTACAAAGTCGTTATCATTCCACTTTTCACTCTTGCATCACCATTGACTGTACTCTATGACTTCTGCCTTTCTCCCAGTTCTCCCACGTTCTAGTACTTTCTAACCTTATTTTATATCTGTTTCCAGATATTTCCCTCTGTTATATCTGTTTCCAAATAGTTAAGTCTGTAGATAGCTCTAAATCTCTATCTCTATCTAGAAATATCCTCTGAGCTTACATGTTCCCCTTCCTTCCTCTCTTTCTTTTCCTTTCGTGCCACCTCCTTTTACTTTATTTCTTTATCTTCGTTGCCTATGTCCATTTCTTTCAAGATCATTATAAATATTTTATTTTTCCCCGTTTAGTTTTGTTTCCTCTCTTGCCCATAATATAGTCTCTTCCTTTGAATATTTATCTCTATCCTGTTCTTTCTTATGACGTCCCCCGCAATTATTTATTTCTTATTCATATTAAATTTATGTTCACCTGGCTATCGTGTCTACTGAGGTCACCTGAGGACCACAAATGTTGTGTCTAGCTGGTTGAGAACCATCAACTGCGTAGTAATATTTCTTTGTTGCTTTGAAATTAAATGTTCCTGCATCCATTTATCTTTAAATATCAGTGCGCAAAAGTAATTTCTTGTTGAAATACTCGTTATTTGTAGTATATGTACATATGCAATGAAGGCTTAGAGTGTAAATAGAAAAATATTAACACCACGTGCACGAAATGGGAGATGGGGCGAGGCTAGAGCATGGCGTCGGCGAAGCGAGTCAGAGAGGATTGCCATACAGACATTTTATATTTATTTTTATCTCGTCGTATTTACATGATATTCCATGCCCGTTTCCGAAGCCAATGACAAAATCAGGTCAAGACTATAATAATCTAAGTATTAAGTTGATTGGAGAAGCGTCGGAGATGAGGTTATTACAGAAAGATTGAAATATGGCAAGGAGTGTCTGGGCGCCTTGGGGTGGCAACTCAGCCGGAGATGATGCAGGTACGAACCCCTCACCTGCCTGCCGCTTTTCCTTATCAAATGCATTTTCTTCCCCTTTATCCCTTTTCCCTACCCTTTTCCCCCTCCCCTTCCCCTCCTCGGGTATGGGTAAATTCCTTCAATTCTGAAAAGAAACAACCCGACTATTATGGCGCCTCGGTACTTCTTTCCCACGTTTAAAAGTTAAATTCTTCTTATATTTGCTATAGTTAAACCGAACACAAGGTAAAATTCCTCACATAGTAAGCATGATTAAATGAACATGGAAATTCGAATGAGTATGCTCTATATATTTTATTACAGATAATGCATGCAAGGTGATACGCACTACTTCATATACAAAATGGTGTGTGTGTGTGTGTGTGTGTGTGTGTGTGTGTGTGTGTGTGTGTGTGTGTGTGTGTGTGTGTGTGGTGTGTAAGTAAGCACAGTATATATCTTATGGCAAGTAAGTACTGCAATATGAAGAAACTAAAATCGTATATATATATATATATATATATATATTATATATATAATATATATATATATATATATATATATGTACATAATATATATTGTATCTATATTATATATATATATATATATATATATATGTATATATATATGTTATATATATATGTATATATATATATATATATATATATATATATATATATATATATATATATATATATAACATAAATATGTGTATATAGATAGGTAGAGAAATAAAATGATTTATCAAGATTGTTACTGATTATTGTTTTTGTTGTTATTACATTATGGTTGTTATTATTATTTATATTACCATTATCATTTTTTTTATTATTATTATCGAGAGAGAGAGAGAGAGAGAGAGAGAGAGAGAGAGAGAGAGAGAGAGAGAGAGAGAGAGAGAGAGAGAGAGAGAGAGAG